ACAAAACATCAAAAATTACAGGAATTGGAACTGTCCTTATAACAGTACCTAACGGAAATAAGACAATTAAACTTACGCTCAAAAATGTGTTATGTGTTCCGGAATTAAAATGTAATTTGCTGTCAACATCTAAAGCTACTGCAAATAATCGTTCAGTGATTTTTACAGAACAACATGCTAGAATAATAGAACCAAATGGAACCAACAAAATACTAGTGCAGGCTATTCGTCATGGTGATCTTTATTATATACAACCAAGCACTGAAACAGCTGCAATAGCACAGGTAAGTAATTTTGTAAAGTGGCATCTTAAATTAGGTCATTTAAATGAGTCTGGTTTGAAAAGACTTAAGTCTGATAACATGGTTAGAAATTCAAATTTTAATAACACTGAATCTCTAAAAGACTGCAAAGTCTGTATCCGAGGTAAACAAATTGTGCAACCTTTTCAAAAAGAATCAAAATTTCAAAGATGATGAATTAACTGAACTTGATTCACTCAGATTTGTGTGGACCTATGAGAGTCCCATCCCATGGCTGGTTCGCGTTATTTTGTTACTTTCATAGACGACAAATCGCGTTATGTCGAAGTCAGTTTTCTTAAAACTAAAGATGAAGTGTGAAAAATGCATTCATTAAATACAAAGCTTGCGGTCGAAAATCTTCTAGGAAAGAAAATAAAAATCCTTCGGACTGATAACGGTCTCGAATATCGCGGAGAAGAATTTAATAAATATATTCAAGAATGCGGGATTAAACGAGAATTCTCAGCACCAATGACTCCTCAACAGAATTCGAGAGCTGAACGCATGAACCGCACTTTAACTGAAATGGCCAGATGTTTGTTACTACAAAGTAATCTTCCCCAATCCTTTTTGGGAAGCTTTCCTTTCCTTTTTCCACTAGCCTTGAACTGTGCTGTTTATATTCGTAATCGTTGCCCGAATCGAAGCCTGGGAGTAAACAAAACACCTTATGAGTTATTTTTTGGCATCAAGCCTGGGAGTAAACAAAACACCTTATGAGTTATTTTTTGGCATCAAGCCAACTGTATCTCACTTCAAAGTATTCGGACAGAAATGTTTTGCACTTAATAAAAGGTCTAAAGGGAAATTCGATTCTCGATCAGAAGAACATATATTTGTAGGATACTCAAATGAATCGAAAGCATACAGGCTGTGGGAAAAAAATTCCAGAAAAATCGTTATAAGCCGAGATGTTAGATTCATTGATGAATTTGAAAACTGTACTAATTATGATAAAGATTTAGAAAGTTTTATTTTTCGAAAATATTCCTGATAAAAAGAAGGAAGAACCTCTTGAATGTAAAGCAAATATCGGCTGATGAAATAACAGAAGACCCCTCATATATGGCTGAATCATCTGATAATGAAGATTCTGATTCCGAAGCACTACCTGAAATGCAGATTAAAAGGGGGCCAGGTCGTCCCAAAGAAAGTCAAGACTGGGAAGCCAGGAAGACCTGAAAAAGGAGAAATATACAAAATATAACTGAAAAAGGAGTACCACAATATAAACATAGAAAAGGAAGAAGCACAAATTGCTGAAGAAGATACAAATCCGACATTAGAAGAAGCATTAAATGGAAGTTATGCTGAAGAATGGCATAAGGCTATGCAAATTGAGTATGAAACACTTGTTAAAAATGGTGCGTGGAAATTGGTAAAGCGACCACAGAACAAAAAGGTAATAGGATGTCGCTGGGTTCTTAGAACGAAATATAATGCAGATGGAACAGTTCAAAAGAGAAAAAAAGCTCGATTGGTTGCTAGAGGATTTGCACAGGAAACCTAGGAATTTGATTTTAATGAAACCTTTGCTTCCAGTAGCCAGAGCAAGTTCTATAAGAACTGTGATTGCATATAGTGCTGAACAAGACCTTATGTTATATCAACTAGATTTTGTTATGGCTTATGTTAACGGAGATTTAAAAGAAGAAATTTTCATGGAACAAGCTAAAGGTTTTGAAGACCAAAATAATCCTGATTATGTTTATGCTTTGCAAAAATCTCTTTATGGTTTGAAACAAAGTGGACGACAGTGGTATGAAAAATTAGACAAAAAACTCAAAAACCATTACAATCAGATAAGTGTGTATACAGGATGAAAACATATCAAGGTGAGTTAATTCTAATTTTATATGTGGATGACTTAATAATAACAACAAATAGCTGTGATTTATATACTGAACTTAAAGGTTATCTTTCTAAAGAATTTCATGTTAAAGATTTAGGCAAACTTCATTATTGTCTTGGAATAGAATTTAATCAAGATGTAAATAATAATTCTATTAGTTTATCTCAGCAGAAATATGTTGACAATATTCTACGAAGGTTTAATATGCAAGATGCAAAACCAGTAGCAACTCCTTTAGATCCTAGTGTAAAATTAAGTAAAGAAATGTGTCCTTCTGAAACTGAAAAGGAAGAAATGAACAATGCACCTTATCGTCGTCTAATTGGTTCGCTTATGTATCTTTCTGTGTTTACTAGGCCGGATATTACATATGCCGTCAGTCACCTGAGCCAATTTAATAACAATCCTGGAAAATTACACTGGTTGGCTGCAAAGCGAAAAGGAACTAAAAATAATTGTTTAAAATTTCGAAAGACTGGAAAAGCACTTATTGGATATACTGATGCCGACTGGGCGTCTGATGTTAATACTAGAAAGTCGTATACAGGTTACCTATTCAAGTTTGCTGAATATCCAATAACATGGGGATCACGAAAGCAACAAACTGTTGCATTATCAAGTACTGAAGCAGTACATCAGTCTTTCAGAAAGCGCCAAAGAAGCAGTTTATTTACGTCGTTTCCTTAAAGAATTAAATTTTACTGCTGATTATCCAACCATTATATATTGTGATAATCAAGGTGCACAGAAAGCTTATGAAAAATGCTGTTTATCACTCACGCACTAAACACATAGATATTAGACATATCATTTCATTCGTCAAAATTTATGAAAGAAATGAAATAGACGTTAAATATTTGCCAACAGAGAAAATGCCTGCCGATGTACTGACAAAAACATTGACTGCTTCGAAACATTCCAAGTGCTGTAAATTAATTGGAATAACTGTAAATGATTAATGTTTATTTTTTTTTTAGACGCCAAACGTCGAAAGGGGGATTGTTGTATCATAAATTATAATACGACGTTTAGCTTAAGAGAGCTTCTCCTGACGCATGCGCCGTTCGCGTTTATCCGCGCCGGGTGATGATGACGTAACTGTTTATTACGTATGTATGTATATGTATATCTCTTTTTCTTCTTCGCCTTTTTTCTCTGCTGTACGCAACTATGTTTAAGTTAATCTCTGTCATTAAAAATGTTTATTGATATTACAATCTATTTAGGCCCATTTATTTCTTCAGTTCTACTAGTTACAAATTAATTTAATTTACATTACTGAAGTTATAATAATATTGAAATATTGTCCTTAGAAGGTAATAATTAAATTCTAATATACATAGCTTTTGTCTCTTATTTTATAAAAAATTCTATTATGAAAGTAACTTTTGGAAAAATTCAGAACCAAAATAATTTATTAAACCAGTACTACTGGGAATATCGAAATCTGATGGTGAGCATCGAACAGAAGTAAATTGTCAAAATAAAATTTTATTCAAATTATATCTCTGCTTTTGGTATTTCATCCGCTCACGTGATAACTTCAAAAGAAGTGTTTGAACTATTTTATCACAAAAAATTAAACACGCGTTGATATAATGGACAAACATGGGTTTTCATGGTTTCTTACCGAACTACGCCGGATCTCGTGTTCTTATCTTAGGGAGCGCGCGAGGGAAAACGGCATCAATTGTCAGCTCCTCAAACAAGAGAGGGTGTCCTTAATTCGCATCGGCGCCCCCACTGATAGCTAGCGTGATATCAGTGAAACGGCGTCTTTTGAAGCAGTTCTCACACCGCAAATGGAAAGGAAGCCGCGCTGCCATTCCACCGTTTCCATGATGCCATACTCTCCGAGAGGTCACTCACGACTTTTAATATTATACTAAAAATAAAACTCCTTCATGACAGCTTTATTAAATATTGGAAATGCGCTTCTAATCAAATGCAATATAATGAAAACGGGAAATTGACCTTCGAATCTTAAATTCGATACACCTCCCAAATGAATAAAAATCAATCTTTTTTGTTAGACATAAGAAATTTTTAAAAAGGAGAGAGAGATAGAAAGAAATATACATGCACATAAATAGAATGCGCAAAATGTGGATTAATGTATTATTACGTTAATAATTAGGGTATGGTTGTGCAAGTCGCATTGCACTTAAAACGCAGAGGATGGGTACGCAACTCATGTGCTGGAGTTGACAAGAAAATGAAAAAATATCTTTCTTTTCATTGTTGTAATAACTTTAAACTTTAATATTCGGAAACTAATCCCCGTTTCGCTGTAAATAAAAAAACCGCATTAACTCAATAAATTATTTATTTACATCTGAAAGGTACAGTGTCCTCTATTTTTCCCCTAGTCACCATGCAGTACATTAAAGCACTTGCCACAGAGTTTTAACAACTTAACCAATCCCTTCCGCATAAAATTCAGCTGCCTGCGGATTCAATCAACTTGTCACAGCGGTTTGAAGTTCCTCATCATAGCGAAGTGCTATTTTTATCCATATCCAGTTAATCCAGATTTTAAAATTAATTAATAAATTAAAATCCGGGGTACAGCCAAATAGCCTCAAGGTTCCCATTAAATGCGCTTTGGTTCCAAACATTTCAGAATATTTTAAATGAGATTCTTTAGCTCAAAAGAGAAGAAATTAATAATTATTGGTTTCTAGATAACATGTTCAGTAAATGCAATTAAATTCTATACGATCATTTTATACTGATGGTTATATAGTTATAAGTTTATTTCCTATAAATAACGCTGTATACCTAAATAAATTATTTTCCTACCAACCTTTTAACCTAGTAATATTTTTAATTTCTTATTCTAGGGAAAACTAGGACTAAAGACAAATACAGAGTAGTATATTCAGATCATCAACGCCTGGAACTGGAAAAAGAATTTCACTACAGCAGATACATCACAATAAGGAGGAAATCTGAACTAGCAAGTATGTTGGGTTTATCTGAACGGCAAGTGAAAATATGGTTTCAAAATAGAAGAGCGAAAGAACGAAAACAAGCGAAGAAAAGAGAAGAACTGATCCAGAAAACCAAAGACCCTTTGATACATCAGCAAGCGAATCCTATGAGTATTGCTACGCTAAGCCTTTATAAGCCAATGGTCCCCTATGATCACGAGAACAACATGTAAAGTATATGGCAAAAGAAGTAGTAACAGGTAATAAGGATGGGATAATTTCCTAAAGAGGGTGAATGAATTCAGTTTATTTTAATTGACGGCTGGATTAACTCTGAAGACTTGAACGCATCCCAATGGTTTCGATGTCAAAACGAACTGTTAGAAGTGTAAGGATGATGAGCTGTGAAAAGCTTATTGTATGTTTTGTCTTAGAACAGGAAATCGACGTGTAATGTTTTGAAGTTTTGAGCCGAGGGGTTTTTATGAAATGCGAAGCAGAGTGAAGGTAAATTGGAAGTGTGTAAGTTAATGGCAGAATGAAAACGATGATAAATAAGAGAAATTAAGGAAGTATATAAATGCCAGCCTCAAAGCGGTTAGTAAATTTTTACAACTTGCGGTGAGTTCATTAGCCATTCAGCTCATTAGGAATTTAAATCTAAAAAAATTTAAATCCCGTAGTTACACAAAAGAGGCTATCATTTTTTATAACTTAGTAACAGAAGTATCACACATCGTTCATTTCATTTCAAATTTTGGTGTCATACTGAAAGAGGAAGTTCTATAACAAATAATAACAATTTAGATTAGAATTTCTAGCCACTCTTCCATTTCGTACAAATGCAATCAATCGTTTCATCCAGATGGCCTTCCAAAGAAGATTTTTAAAAGCGTTACTTTTTCTTTACGTGACAAAAAAAAAAAAAAAAAAAAAAAAAAAAAACCTCTCTATACACGATTACTTCTAAAAGTATAGATTCCAGCTATGAAATTCTCACAAAATTTGAAAATTTTCCCGCGTATGTTTTTCCTTCTTCTCCGCGATAAAATTAAATACATTGATCGGCCATAAATATATTCCAGTTGCTTACTAAGATCACTAAAAGCATTCACAGAGTTAGTTTTCGTTCCAAAGTTTCTTATTATTCTACTAGTACCTACCACAATTACATTATTCTTGTTATAATTTTATTATTAATGAACATATACTTACTTGCTTTTGTTTTACTGCAAAAAAAAAAAAAATGTTTTCATATATTTATCTATATTATTAGTTGACATAACAACATTTTTAAAAATAGAAAGACTTATTAAAACTTTAACAAATTTCGTGTGAATGACGATGTCACTTCATAAATGGTTTCGTCGTTCACATTTGGATAAATAAAAGCATTCATAAAAGTGACACCATTAACAAATTCTTGTGGAGTTTCTAGTTAGGAGAGGTTAGTAAAGAAATAATACTAAACGTGGAAATCTACTTAATAATCACGTTACATAAAGGAAAAAAATTAGAAGAGCCTGCACCAATTTAGCTTTAATTAGCAAATAATTTAATAAATGTATTTTCCAAACAAAAAAAAAAAAAAAAAAAAAAAAAAAAAAAAACTGATAAAATAAAAAAAAAAAAAAATCTTTTTAGAAAATTCTGCGTTTCTAAACATTTTTTCTTCAAATTTTCTGTTTCCAAGCCCAGCAATGTTTTTTCAAATTTTACTTTCTTAAAAAAAAAAAAAAAAAAAAAAAGATAAATTTAAAGAAAAATAAGTAATGTAAATATTATGAAAATTCTTATTAACATGAAAATTAAGATCAGGGATGGGCAAACTACGGCCCGCGGGCCAACTCCGGCCCGCCGGAAGGTTCCATCCGGCCCACGGAGAGAATTTAAATTTTTCCGTCCGAGGCAAATTAAAAGAGATATGTATTATATATCCATCTCCTTTTCTATTTTGTTTAAATATTATTTATTTCTTCCTTTTTTCAAAGGACTGATGATCTTTTTACTCTCTCTATTTTTGTTCTACAAAACATAAAATGACAGAAATAGCAAGCACAGACAGCTTTTAATCCGTAAAGTGTGAGCAGCGGAAGTTCTTTGTTAGTTATAGCTATAGATTGACGTCAACAAGCGTTATCTCTTTCTCGGGGAGCAGACATATAGGAATCCAGTTATAGGTGAATTAAACCTCTTAGAAAGAACTGAATCTTAACTTAGTAAATCTTAATATGTTTGTTGGGCAGCTAGCTAGTCTCGTTTGAGGTTAAATTCAATACCCTCAGTAACTGAAGAGAAGTTTAAGAATTATGAAGATGGCTTGAAAAAACTGCATTTTGAGTTCGAACGAAGATGTCAAGATTTCAATGCCATTCAAACGGAATTGGAGTTTTTACCATGCCTTTCAACGTAAACTGGGAAGCAGTGAGGTCAGATTTGCAGTTTGAATCGAGTTGCAATCTAACAATCATCTCAAGCAGCTGTTTCTAAATATGCCAAAGTTAGAGTTTTACAAATCATTATCGAAAGTAAGTTTCCCGAATTTAATATCTCACGCCCAGAAAATCAGTGCTATGTTTGCTTCATCTTAGATATGTAAACAAGTGTTTTCAACCATAAACCTTAGAAAGAATTATTTCAGAAGTAGATTGACACATGCGCCTTTAGCTTCGTTCCATAGAATCAGTACATCACGCCTCGAACCTCAATATAAGTAACTTTTAAAAATGAAATCGCAATTTCAGTTATCTCATTAACATAATTAAATTGTAATACTTGTATTTTGTTCTTAAAATTTTAGAAAAATATCTTGGCCCGCCAAACGTTTTGTTTTCGATTTTTGGCCCGCAACCGAAAATGTTTGCCCATCCCTGACTTAGATCATATTTATACTGAATTACTTTATCCTTGTGTTTTAAATATTCGCATTTAACTTAATGGACTGCCGCAGGACTAACATTATTCATAATGCTGAATAAAAACAGTTTGCCTGCCTTAGACACAATTAAGATTATCAACAATTTCACATATTCAAGTAAGTTCAAATCGGCATTAAACTCAGACAATATTTATCCCTTTTCTGCAAAAGCTCATAATTTATTAAGCTGTTATCTAAAACATGTTGCATGTACTATAAAAAAATATGTACTCCAACATCATATATTTTACTTGCATTTCAGAGTTAACAGAGATTTATTGTAATTTTTCAAAACTGTCAAAAATCTTATACATCTGATGTTACATGGTGTTCAGAAGAGATGGTTGCAGGCTTGTAAACGAATGCTATTTCTTATTTGTTCTTTAAATTAATAATCATAAGCATTACTACTGAAAAGAACAAATAATTTGTTAAAATAAAGGTGTGAGTGAAACATAGGTAATCAAAATCTAAAAAATTTAAATTAAAGTAAAAAATTTTTTTCATTCATTAAAAATTCTTAAAATATAATTTCATGGATTGCAATAAATAAAAACTAAACGTGATTAAATTCAAGATTTTAACTTTGATGACAAAATACATCGAAACCTTGGTTCATGAATTGAATTCGTTTTTGAATTTCTGAAACAATTTTCCTCATAGAAGTTTAAGTAAAATCGATTAATTAGTTTCTGGACCATACATGAGTGTTATTTAAAATTTACAGCAGTAGTTTGTGCCCAAGTACATAACCTCGAACCACAGGAAACTAATTATAAAACAAAAGATAAAAACACGCTATTAAACAGATAAAATTTATTAAAAAAATTAGTTTAATTTTACTGTGCTTGTACGAAGGAGAGTGCATTGCATACGCGAAAATGACGAGGAGGATATTATTGTTTAAATGTGAAATTCTTTTTCGTAAACACAATTTTATAAGACATCTTTTTTTTTCTTTTCTTTTCTCTGTTTCCCCTCTGCTTGAGACACAACTGGAACATAGTGGGCCTCTGTTTCACTCAAATTTGACCAATGCGATTTATGACGTACGGTTTAAAATATTTTTAAAGTCACACACGGCATCATTACTGAAAATCCGTACGCTGTAGCTTCCTACTGCTTTATGAGGTAATAGTGTTACGTGAAAATTTAGCATCTTGCTCAGTTTTGCACAGATAAAAGCTAGGCTCCCCTCATCTCTTTGTCTGAAGAGATTTCTTCCGCAATCAGCTTTTGTAGCTGCTTCCTGAAGTTGTGATAGTTCTTTTTTGTTCAGCTCATTTATTTGGTTCTCTAATAGCTTCCAGCCCACCAGCGGCCTAGCGGTAAAGTCGCAGAACACTAGCAGTTCGGTCTGGGATTCAAATCCTGGCGAATGGGCTGGCTGTATGGGCGTTTTAGTGGTTTTCACCATGAGTAACGTACATACGAACTAGTTTCCCTTGGAAGGTCAATCCACGACGGAATCCTTTCCCTCAACTCTCGTATACTTTGCCATAATCAAATAAACCAAACTCTAGTAACTTCTCCGTCTTCACAGTTAACTTCTAGCCCATGGTTTTGCATACAGACACAGTATCAAAGATAACAAAAAACATCCTACGCCTGTAATCCATTCTGCCATAATTTCCTACAGGCCGAATTCGCGGTTCTGTAAGTCATTTATTGCCAGGCTTTGTTAATGAGAGTTAAGCAACGGAAAATATTCAAATAATGTTTCCTGAAATCCCTCAGTGTTATGGGACTGAGTTACGACATTTGTCTTTGAAGAAATTGGGTGTAACCAAATCACCTTGCAGCTATACGTGAGTTCCCCAGAGTTACCAATAAATCCCGTATTAGAAGTTTTCGTGAAGGGAACGAAATGTAAAATTTAGACAGAAGCACTGAATAAAATCAGATTAGATTTAATAAGTCTCTACTTGAAGTCTTAACATAAAAATGCATAAGCCAATCATCTGTCTGGAATGAAGAATAAAATCATCTGTCTGGAATGAAGAATTTGAATGAAGAATAAAATTTTAAGCTCGAAGAATTCACAACTCAATCTAATCTTCTTGGAGCCATACTTTCTTCTAGCGGATAGCAATGCATTTAAAATTTCAATTGCAGATAACCGTTTAGACAACTATTTCTCATCTACGGCGTCCAGGTTTGCCATCAAGCATTCGCCAGCTAATTTATCTCCAAGCGCAGCTCATTCGTTCCCTCGCTCCTGCGGTTTCTAATAAAATCTTTTTATAAACCTATGCTTGTCACATAAAAATCTGCATAACTTTATGGAAAGAACGAGTTGCGTAACTGAAGAAAGAA